GCAGCATGTCGATTTCTCTGCTATTTAATATTTTAAAATGACCTTAATTTCAAAATTTATAATGTGGGTCTCCATGCCACTAAGAGGGTCAGTGAATTTCAATCAGAATCCTCGTTGTTGCAAGAGACAATTTGGAGGCATTTTTTCTCAGTAGTTCAAAAAACACCGAGTCCACCCTGGACAGTCTGGGCTGGGGTTTGCTGGACGGGGAGGGATATGTAACACACGGCTGGTGCAGGGAAGAGTGTCCAGTACTCGTGGCTGCCCAGATGAACTGGAATCTGAGGCACTGAGTGACAGAAATGAGAAGTGGCTGCTGGGCAGGGTCAGGGAGCAGCTGACCCAGGACACCGAGCAGGGCCAGCGTCCAGCAGCTGTCTGAGCCCTGCCCTCCCTCTGCTCCCGTGCAGACCTCACCCAGCCCAGGAGGCCTTCGTAGATGCCCGTGGCCATGCTCTGTGATGGCTGTTGTTTCCATCAGCCTGCTCCTGTCCCAGGGAGAACTGCCCTTGGGATGCTGGGTGCAGGTGGACCCAGGGGCCACGGCTGCCCAGGACCTTCTGGAGCCCAAGCACTGTTGGGGTGGGCGCACTGTGCTGTGTCCTGCATGCTGAGTGGGCCATACCAGATGCTCACAAAGCCCATCTGCTCCATCCCAGATACTTCCTGGAAGCCAGTGGCCCTTACTAAGACCCTCACCCTCAGCCCCTTGCAGACTGAGTCTGGGAACTTGGTCTCAGCGCTGCCGTCAGTGGCCCAGCCCGGGCTAGGACACAGGTGATGTCCAGATCCAGACCCAGTCAGGGGAAGGCGGGGCAGAGACGTGACCGCTCCTGACCGCCGCTCCTACAGCCATGCAGACGGCACGGTGTTGGCAGCAGGACAGATGAAAGGCCCTGGGGCAGCGCAGGGGTCCTGTGACAGACTGGCAAACCCTCCCCGTGACCTTTGTCGGAGCTGTGAAAACAGTAGGTGGAGGAAGGACGGCGCTGTAGCACCTGACGGGCAGAGAAAAACTAGACCCTTGGACACAGCCAGCCCCAAGGGGCACGGACACCGCAGCCAAATCCCAAAGTCTGGGGGAAGCCCGGGACAGTGTTTTCAGGACGGAGGACTTGAGGAGGAATTCCTGACCTAAGCCACAGCTCATCACAAATAAAGATCTGCGTGTAAAAGGCCTGAGAGGCAGTGAGGAGCTCCAGGAGGGGGAAACACCTGAGCCAGGCAGCGGCCAAAGGACATGTGTGGAGCGCGGGCTCAGAATACCCGGGCTCTGTGGTCAAAACAATGTCACTAGCAAGAGGACACAAGTGACAAGAGGTGCGGCAGAGGTGTCCATGCCATTCGCTGTTAGGGAGACAGATGTCACCGTGTGACAACCCCGGGTGGGAGGCGCCGGCTCACTGCAGGGGCAGGGCCGCAGCACGGACGGCTCCCTCGGGAGCTGCTTGGGAAGCTGAACTCGGTAGCACAGGGTGGGGAGCTGGGTGCCCCCAGGGGCTTGGCTCCTACCTGTGCACAACTGGGAGGTGGAGCAGCGAGTGGGGAGTTGGGGGCGTGTCCTGGAGGGCACTTCCTGTCTCTACTGCCCGATGCTTCCTCCACCCAGCGCCCTGGCTGCCTTACCAGGGGCCCAAGCAACAGGTCAGCTGACCGAGAGCGCCAATCTGGAGCCGAAACAAACCTTTCCTGCTTAACAGCTGATAAGCGCTGGTATTTTGTCACAGCGATTCAAAGCTGATAAACATACCAGATGGGCAGGACCTGCATTCACAGACCTTTATTCCTGAAAAATGGGAGGTTCACACAAGGCCCTGGACATGAATGAATGGCCTTAGCGCTTTACTTGTCACATCCCCAGACTGGAAACATCTGTATCACAGTCAACTAAAGAGTGAGGCTCAGGGCTGGGCCTGATCTGGGTCTCCTGCAGGGCCAGGGGAGGGAGTTCTGGGTGGGCACATTTTGCCAGGCGGTGACTGTACCTCAATGGGCTTCTGGCTGGGGGCAGGAGGGATCTCATGGGATAGAGGGCACACACCCTCCCCTGCCCCCATGAGTGGAATGCGGGGTACATGAGAGCCAGGTGGGCTGACAGTGACCCCAGGAAGCTGCCCAAGGTCTGGGGCAAGTGTGTGCCCTCCCTGGGGCTGTCACCTGCTCAGGACTGTGGTGGCCATTGCCAAGGCCAGTGTGGCCGCAGGGATGCCTTCCTGAGAATGACGACCACCCAGGGACTCCAGGCCAGGAAAGCAATGAGCAACAGTCTGGAAAATTCCAGACCCAGAATCTCTGAAGCTGCCGTGTGCTCCCGACAGGAGGGCAAGTGTTGCTTTTTCCCACCAGGCTGGGAGGGGGAGCAGGAGGATGGCACTGAGGAGGACCAAGGTGGGGACTTGGAGCCGGGAGCATCGTCTGAGCCCCACACCCCGGGCCCCACGGGTGCAGGTCAGTGGTGCCAAAGAGGGCGGCATGAATCTGGGGCGAGAGGGGCCTGGGAAGGAGGTGGGGCTCCGAGCCGCGCTGTTTCTTGCTGTCCCCATGTGAACCCCACCCCTGCAAAGTTCCTCTCTGATTTAGTCAATATTTAATCTCCCTTGCGTTTGTTTTCCATCAGGGCACACATCCGGAGCCTTTCACTGCCCGTCATTTCAGAGAATAATAACAACTTTCCGCGGTAGTTTTTCTTTATCCCACAAAGGCCTGCGTAAAACCCTTCCATTACTGTAATTTCCTGGTGGGGAAGTCGACTGCAGGGGGCTTGCAGGTCCCCAGGACAGTGCTGCTGGGAAGGCCGGCCCTGCCTGACACACTGCTTTGTGCAGATGTCCTCACCTGGACCTCGGGAAGGGGGCGGGGCAGCAGGGAGCCCCATTCAGAGGGTGTCTGCTCTGTGCACTCCAGCCTGGGCCAGGCACTGGGGCTGGCTCCCTGGGGTCAGAGGGGGACTCCGGGCCCTGTGGAGTTCTGGCAAAGCTTGGCAGTGAGTGGAGAGAGGCGGGGCTGGCACAGGGCTCCTGACTCACCGTGGCTCCCACCCACCCAGGCCCCTGGCCCCCAGCCGCTGGCTCTCAGGCTTAAAGGCTTATGGGATTTCCGAGCAGAGACACAGCAATTTGCGGCTTTTGTTAACCTAATGAGCAAAGCCAGCTATAGTTTAGAAAGACTTTCATTATCGATTTGTTTTAAAAATAAGACATGGGAAATCTGATTTGGGATAGACAGGCCTGCAGAGTCCCAGGGCCTTTAAGCAGGTCTGGGGCTGGGGTAAGGCTGCCTGCCCCTGCTCACAGGAATGTGTCCAGCCCCTGCCCACTCCCAGCCTCTCCAAGGGGTGCCTGTGGCTGCCCTCCTCTGTTTCCTTAGGCCGCAAGCTGCCCATCCACAGACTGACCGCCCTGCCCCTTCAGGGCTGTGGGGGCAGTTGCACGTGGTTCTGCAGAAATCCCGTCACAGCCCTGCTTTCAGGGTACCCTGGGCTCGCCAGTGCCAAAGACAAGCAACTGACACAGCATCCCAGAGACTGAGCTGCAGTGGTGACAGATGTTTGCCATGGCCCCAGGCCAGATGGGCTGACCCTCCCTGGGACCTGATGTGTGCAGGACAGCCTGCCCTGGGCTCCAGGCCTTCTGGGTTTTGAGGTGGAAACGGGGTCGGTCAGCATGTGGCTGGGCCCTGCCAGAGTGCCATGTGGGGTCACCTGCTTAAAAAATATAAAACACCATGTGTGGTGGTACATGTTTGTAATCCAAGTACTCTGGGAAGCTGAGACAGGAGGATCAAACCTTCAAGCCCAGCCACAGCCATAGTGACTTAGTGAGACCTTGTCTCAAAACTTAAACAAATAGAAAAATAAAAAGACTGGGCATGTAGTTCAGTGTGAAGGCCCTGGATTAAATCTCTGTTACCACAAAACATCCCCCCAACCATCCAACCAACCAAACCAAAAATTTCCAAACCAAGCAGGACCTGCATTTAAACTTGAAGTTCAGATCAACAAAGGATACCTTCTAAATGTAAGCCTGCCCCCGGGTGCCTTGAGACATACTCAGGGTGCGCACGGTTTACTGCCTGTCCAGGCTTCATGTTTCCTGATGTCCTGTTGTTTTCATGGCAGCCCCAGCAGAGGCCCCCTCCAGGACCCCTCCCCAAAGGCAGGAGGCTGTGCAGTGGGGAGCTCTCACATACAGAATCACCAGTCTGGTTGGGGGGCCACCATGGAGGGAACCGGCAGGTCTCGGATTGGCGAGACTACACCTCCAAATTCCTGGGTGCTGCTAATGGTCACGTCCACAGCTGGCCATGTCTGCAGCTGGCCACACTCTCCTGACCTTGAGCCTCTGCATGGCTGGGGTGGGGGAGGTTTGCCTGCTGCCTGCTTGTTACAGAATGCACTCAACACTCAACACCTGCTTCGCAAGGGCCCCCTGTGTAGGATGCTGTGGCTGTCATAATGTGTGCCACAGAGGTCTGTGTTGGGGGCGGGTTCCTGGGTCATCTTCGAGGTTGGGGGGACTGAGGCCTCACTTCTTGGGCTTGGGGGAGTCTGGCCTCATTTCCTGTTGTGTTTGGGACCAGCTCCGAAGTACAGCCCCTGAGATCTCCATGGCCACCTTTGTCTCTGCCTGGTCTCCTGCCCCAGGCCCTTGGCCGCTGCTCCAGGCTCACTTGCAGAGCATGCGGTGACCCAGGGACCCAGCTCTGGTCTGTGCTTCTCCTCCTTATGTGCCAGTCTACAGACTGCATGTCACCTCTGCAGAGGGACCTTCTGTGGCCAACTGTGTCCCCACCACTCTCAGAGACTTTGGTTTCCTCCAGGCTGGGCCACTGCCATTCACTGGGACCCTGAGGTCCAAGAGGTGCAACAGCACCCCAGGGCCCGAGGCCGTGAGAGTGGTGTGCTGAGCCGGAGGCCCTGGCCCGGCCCTGCCTGCCCCGCCCAGCAGGCCGTGTGGTCCCCAGCACGCACGCGCCAATGCAACCCCCGCGGCTGTGCCCACCTGGCTTGGAGCCCTCGTCCACGGAGCCGTTGTAGACCTGGTTAAGGAACTCTGGGCGGTTGTCGTTCATGTCGATGACGTAGATGTACAGGTCAATGGGGTTCTCCACCTTGTTGCCGTTCATGTCCACAGCGTGGGCTCGCAGCTGGGGGCAACAGGACAGGTCAGGGCTGGTGGCCGCATCAAGGTTGTGCAGAGGGCAGTCTCCTGGGCCCTGGAGACAGCAGAGGCAGCCTGGGCACGCGTCAGCGGGGCTCTGGCTCTGGTCAGGAATTTCTCTCAATTCCTGTTTTCTGAGTCCCCACTGGCCGAGGCCACCCAGGGCCCCCAGGGCTGCTGAGACTGCTCTCAAGTGCCTGGGGCAGGACAGGTGTCCACCCTCACATGAGTGTCATCCTACTCTCGGTGGCTGCAGAAAGGACATCTGTGCCCAGTGGTGCCCTGGCCTTAATGGCTGTGCCTGAGGTGGTAAGCCCTGGGCTGGTGGAGACCCGGAGAGGAGACGCTTGGGGATGTGCTCCACACTGTTGACCTTGAGGTAGTGTCCCTCCGGGCAGGTCTGATCTGCCCCACGTGGATGTTGAAAGCAGGGCCTTCTCACCCCGGCAGCCACACACCACTGTGGATGGGAATGTGGGGTTCACATCTGAGGAAGGCAAGTGTGATTTTGGAGGTGTGAGTGGCCCTGGCAGAATGCCAGCAAAGAATGGGGACGTCAGCTCTGAACCCCAAGAACCAGAGTCTGCCACAGCCTGAATGCTCCTGGAAGCAGACTCTTCTTAAGACCTGCAATGATGCCCAGGCTGCTGGGGCTTCTTCTTGGCCTTGTGAGACCGAGTGGAAACACTGGCCAAGTCCAGCCGGTTCTGATCTATATATGGCAAGCCAAAGACGGGTAGTGTCTGTGACTTGTTTCATGGGTGGAGAATGAAGGAGACCCCCTTCCTGCGCCCACAGACCCCACTGGGCATCCTCGAAGGTGGAAGTCCTGAAAAGGATCACTGGGGTCCAACAGGAGCAAGTGACTTCTCCATCTGGGGGGATGGATAGCTGAGTTTGGGGGCCCTGCCTTGGTGGATGGAGAGTTTAGAGACAAAGGGAACATAGGGTCCATCCTCTCGCCAGTTCCCAGGCCCAAGTTATCAGCTTCGTCCAGTGTGGGTGGGGGCTTCAGGGTCTGCAGGCATCTAGGGTGAAGGCCAGGACCTTGAGGGAACCTCAGGCTCCCTTCTGGGGCAGTGTGGGCCCCGAATCCCTGGGAATGCTGGCAGCCTGCAGCCAAAGCTTTCCCAGACACTTGGTTCAGGGCCTGGGCAGCGTGTGAAGACTGGTCAGCCAAAGCCAACAGGAAAGCACAGGCAAACTCACAAAGCAAATCCCTCGCACAAGGCCACCTTGGCACTGAGTGGATTGTAACTTTTGCCTGTGAAGGGGAGGTGGGGTTTGGGGTAGGCAACAGTTGCCCCTCGATTGGCCATCCGGCCTCTGACCCTTCACAGTCTGGACCACAGCTATAGGCAGAGTGGTTCCAGACGGTTCCTCTGACCTTAGAGAGGGCGCTGCCCGAGGGGAGTCCCTGAGCCAGCTGCTGGTGCCATCTGGGTTAGGGTCTGCAGGGAGTCAAGCCAGGGACTGCTCCAGAGATGGGAGGCGCAGTGAACCAACAGGGAGGCTGGCTCTGAGCTCAAGGTTTCCACAAGGAATTAGAATGAACACAGAGAAGAAGAGGTTTCACCCAACTCGGGTTCCCAGGGCCAACTTGGATTCGGGAGGCCCAGCCCTCTGCAAGTGCTGCTCATCCAGGTGGCAGCGCCTGAGCAGGGGCTGCCTGAGAGGCATCTGCGCCCCACATGCAGAGGCTGTACCTTGGACAGGCAGGTGCTTGAGCTCTGACACTGCTTTGGCTAAAAAAAGAAACAGGTGGAGGAATTCACAAGTGAGCAGAGCTCTCCATGTCTGTCTCTGTGTCTCTCCTCCTGTTCACACTGGGGCGCTGGGCTGGGATTATTGCTCCCATGTAATGTAATCGTGCGTTGAACGCAGCTCCAGCCCCTTTTGGGAGCCAACAGCCACATCAAGATGACGTCTCTGCAGCACTGAGGGTGGAGAGCCACATCCTGCTGCTGTCTCCTCGGTTCTGTTGTCTGGCCACGATAGCTGATGGTGGTCAGAGGCCTGCAGGAAGTGTTCGGCCCTGAGCCACTGTGGTCAGACTCCTCCAGTGCCCAGCTGCAGCCCCCATCCCAGCCTGAGGGATACGAGGTGGGGCACGGAGGGCTCTCCAGTGAGACAGAGGCTGCCTGAGACTCAGGGTGCTCAAGGCCTGGAGCACAGGAGCAGAGACAGGGCCCAGCCAGCAAGGCCCCTAGGGACCAGCAGAGGCTCATGGATACCCACCCCCATCAAGTCCCAGTCTGGGAGGAGGGTGGGGTCTTCAGTGTCAGGATTTCATACTTAGTGGGGGCTCATGGGGCAAAAGTAGGGGCCCACGGATGGCTCCAGAGTGCTCTGGCCTGAGACTGGCTCCCCAGGCTCTGCTTGGGAGGGCCCTTGGTGGGGCTTCATTTGAATGTTCTGCTGTCACTCTCTGGACATTCTTTTTGGACGAGGGCCCTGTGTTCTGCTTCGCACCAGGACCTGAGTTCTGTATCTATCCTGGATGTGCATAGGTGAAGCCAGGGCCTGGCCTGAGCGGGTCCCACGCTACATGAGGTTCTGAGCCCAACCTCGTGTTTATGAAGCCAATTTTTTTTCAGCTGGACTCTTTAAGATTAAGAGAAATAAGCCCAAGAAGACCCTGGCTACAGCTGGCCACCTGCTTGCTGGAGGCCCAGTGGAGAGCTGCTGCCTCCCAGAGGACGCAGAAGTCACTTTGGAGATGTCCAGAGGCAGCTGGCTGAGTGGGGCAGCCCTCCAGCAGGCAATCAGAGCCCCGAGATCCTGCCCTGGAGCCGAGGCCTTTGGGAGCAGAGAAGGCAAAGGCAGGGACCCCACAGCTGAGGAGTTCTCTTCCAGAGACCACAATAATTAAAAATTAATCTGTCTAATCTTGGAGAGGTGAATTTAATCAGCAAGTGGCCTCCTCATGTGGCCTGTGCAGAGGCAGAGGCTCCGATGAAGGAGCAGACTCCAGAGCTGATTGCCGGTCAGTGGGGATCAGCAGGACGGGGAGGCCAGCGGTGCAGGGCGGGTGGGGTCGCTGGCAGCGGGGCACGCTCGCCCACTCTGCCCCTCCCTCCCTCTCTCTCACTGTTCTGCCAGAGGTCAGCTGGAAATGGGGTCCAACACCCTGCTGGACTCAGGCTCCGAGGCCCCTGAAGAATGCTTTCTGGAAAGACTGTGTGAGGGGGAGGGTGAAGAAGGTGGACGGGAGAGCAGGGAGGAAGGAGTGGGGCCAGGAGGAGGGCAGTGCAGCCCGGAGTCCCGCAGGTCCTTGAAGTGCGGGGCGTGAGAACGGCTGAAAGAACAGTGCACCCTCTTCCAGGGGTGACCAGGACTTCAGAGTGGGCCTGCGAGCCGCTCCCTGGGGGCAGCACCCTGACTCTGCTCTCGAAGCTGCACCTGCTGGGAAGGGGGAGGGGGTCTCTTTACCACTGCCTTGGCCTAAAACAGTCCAGCCTGTGCACACTGTCCTTGCTGGTGAAGGATGCAGTGACTTTCTTTAGCTATGCAGACTCCTGAGGGAAATGTCTCTCGCCACACAGCTAACAAGACAGTCTGTTTCCCGAAGCTCCTCTTCCTGACCCGGCCTCCACCATCAGACACAGAGCCAAGGAGATGCTCAGACGGTGCCCACTGGGGCTGCCAGGCCATCGGGTCACTGCTGCTGAAGACAGGGAAACAGTCTGCTCGGGAGGATTTGATGCCTTCTTTCCCCAGTAATGTCCAAGCTCCCTGAAGTGGGACCACGTGGGCTCCGTCCATCTCTGTCTGCTGGGCACCTAACGCAGGGCCTGGGGCATCATTAGTGCTCAGGATGGATGACAGGGAGGGTGGGTGGATGACACATAGGTGGGTGGATGGGTAGGTAAATCCATGGGCAAGTAGATGGCCGGTGGGTGCGAAGTCGGACAGGAGAAGGGGCAGCTGTGTGGACATTTGTACATATGTATGTGTGTATAAATGGGTAAGTGAAGTACGTAAGGGGGAGAATCTGGAGGTGTGGGCAGGGTTTCTGTGCCCTGCAGGAGACCAGCTAAGTCCAGGGACCTGGAGGGCCTGACCTCCATCAAACCTGCATCTTTTCTCACTGGAAGAAACCACAGGGTACGTAGCAGCTCCCGGTCTAGTCCTAGAAACTGTTGCCTCCTGCGGCGTGGGCAGCTAGTCTGAGGAGGAAATCTTGGTGGTTCTGGAGGTAGCCTGAGGTGGGCTCCCCGGGGTCCGCGCATCCAAGCATCCTGCTTCTGAGGTTGCAGGGCTCAGCTGGGGAGGCCTCTGACAGAATCGAGCTCCTCCCCTCGACTTCCTCCCTTCCCAAACTGTGCGCATCTCCAGGATCAGGCTCTGTCGTTGGGGCTGGACAAGCCTGACCACTCCCTGTGAACACAGAGCCTTCTGCTGGTGATGGATGGACAGCAAATTCCAAACAAATGATGGATAGACATGAGAAACAGCTGGTCAGGCTATGAGCAGCGCCCGGAGCTGAAGTAGTTGAAGTCAGAGAGGTTAATGTGGCAGCTGGGCCGGAGGCTGCCGATTCCAGCTTTGTTTCCAAATTAGGAGGAGCTGGATGGGCACCATCATGATGTGAGGAGAGACCTAAGTCGGGGAGAGGCTGGGAGGCGTCAGGCTGCGCGGGACCAGTGCGCACCCCAGAGCTGGGGAGGATGGGAACAAGCTCAGGGCTGAGCAGGAAGGCAGGACCAAAGACGCAGGAGACCCTGTGGATGAAGCCCTCCCTGTCCAGCGCCCCTCCTGGGAAGGAATCGCAGCACAGTTGGGCCCACGGAGCTGGACCCCAGGCTAGTGCACTTCAGCCAGCCGGGCAGTTCTGAGCCAGGCTGTGTTGGGTCCTCCCCTGTGGCTCAGGGCCCGTGGCCTCACCCAGGTCCACACTGCCCGCTCCCACGGCCCCCAATGTGGACACTCACATGGTAAGAGGCTCGCTCCTCCCGGTCCATGGGCCGCGTGACGTACATGCGGCCGGACATGGAGTCGATGCTGAAGACCTCCATGGGCGGCTGGTCGGCGCCCACGCCCGTGATGCTGTATCGGATGGGGATGTCGTTGTCTTTGTCCGACCGGATCTGAGAGGAGGAAGGAAGAGGGAGAGAAAAATCAGCCTGGGGGAGGAGTCACGTCCAGCCCTGCCCTCGGGCGTCTCACTGCTGCTGCTTTGGAGGCGCCTGGCGACCACCACTGATCCATCACCCCAGGAACTGGAAAGGCAATCAGAGGTTAGGGCTTCACCATGTGCCACCAACAAGATGTGCAGTGGCCACCAAGTCACCAAAAGGCACCACAGCATCTAAGCAGGGAGCCTGCGGTACCCACAACACAGCTGACAAGGGAGGAGCGAAGCTTCAGAGTGTCAGAGGCCGTGCAACCTAGGGCTCTGCCATCAACTCAGGCAGAGAAAGAGGAGAGAAAATAGCGACCCCTACAGAGTTCTGAGGGTCATGGTCACCGGGCATCTGTTCACTCTATTAGGAAGGCACAGAGATCTCTGGATGCACGAAGATGGGGAATGCGACTGTCTCCTCACCTCTGGGACAGAGGCCTTGGAGGAGAAACACAGCAGGACCTCAGGACACTGACAGAGAGTGCCTGGGCCCAGTCCTTAGAAACAGGAATTTACTACTGGAAATCATGGTCAGCATGACCACAGAGCTACACACACAGTAAAAATCCTCCAAGAGAAGCTGTGTAGTTAAAAAAACAATTTAACAATGGCGCCCGCGCCTCAAATCCGCAGGAAGTTAGCTGAGACTCAGAGCTGGGGAGAAGTGGAAGGAGCCCCCGCAGAGCCTGCGTTTTACCTGCTGGGGTCATTTCAGGGCTGACCACATCTTCAACCAAGTAGAAATCTTTGGGAAACCAAAAGGTGACAGAAGGATGGAAAATACAATGCATGTCTTTCACAGTTCCAGCAAAACATCTTGTGACAAGAAAGGGTCATTGATGGACACACAGTCACCAGCCTGTTCCTCAGCACAGTCCCCTTGAGGGACAGCCTGTTCCTCTCAGGGCGAGGGCTCCCTCAAACGGTGGAGGCGGCCACGGAGAACAGGACGGAATAACCGATAAGGGGGAGCCTACAGATCTGCATGGCTTTCGACAACATTTTTAGAAAATCTGACTTCTTAAAAAAGACGTAGGCTCATGGGGCCATGACAACATTTTACAGTAAGCTGGGTGTGATGGTTTATCTTGACTGCCTGGGGGACACCTAGGAGGTCAGTAAACACACTTTTGTGGTACCTGGGTGGGGAGGGGGTGTCCGGCTCTTTCCACATCTCTCTGCTTCCTGGCTGCCATAACCTGAGTGACTTTCTCCAGCTCTGCCTTCTGTCGTCATGTTCTTCCTTTGAGCCAGTGGACATGGACTGGAACTTCCTAAACCATGAGCCCAGATAAGCCCTTTCCTCCTCGAAACTGCAGGGTCAGGGGCTTTGCCCCAGCAGTGGAAATCTGACTAATCCATTGTGAAAATTTCTAAAAGAATTCCACAAGGCAAAACTGACCAAGACTTTTTATGGGACATTAAAATTGAAGTCTAATGATAAAAATTTTTAAAAGGACCTTTAGTAATAAAAAAGTTCTGAAATAACCACTGGGTCAAATAGGAATCAAAGCTGATTTTAGAGCTATTTAAAAATACTTATTATGTTCAGGGACACAACAATGGGCTATTATTTAGCAAAGCCTGAGACTGCTACACAGCAAATGCCCCGGCTCAGAGGTGTTCACTGCTCAAAGGGAAGCACGCAGGCCGGAAGGGAAGCGCTCAGCACCGGGGAGGGAAGCCCAAGGCCACGGAGGCACCGGGCGATCAGGAGCACGGACAGGGCTGCGACTGAATCAGAACAGAACCACAGGCACTGGGAGACTCAAGAGCTATACTGGGAGGCGCATCCTCAAGAAAACACCTGTACTTTGGGTAAACGTGAGAGAAAAAAATAACCCTTTTCTCACATCCTATTTTTTATGTTAGGCTGCTTCAACTGTGTTGAAAAAAATCTCAGTTAAATCGATTATGTTTTGGGAAAATATGAAATTGCAAACTTTAGCAGACGAAGGGACGAGGGTGTGAGGAGGGGAAGGGGGAGGAGAGGGGAGGCTGAGGACAGGGTCCCCACTCTGCAGGAAGTTCCCTTGAGGGTGCTGGGGCTGCAGCCCGCTAGGATGACCTGGAACTCTCGTGGAGCATGGGTCAGAGACAAAGAGCCTGCTTGGCCTACACTCAGGAGTGAGGAGGTGGCCTGGCCACGCTGAGCGGGCAGTGGGTGGCACAGTGGTCCACCGAGGCCCCCGTCTCTCTTGCCCAGGGCTGATGTCAGAATTCAAGGGCTGCTGGCTGGGGGATTTACTTTTGTAGCGCGGTAATGAGTATAAGAGCCTCAGTGGGAGCACGGAAGAAACTGACGATGAGAATCCTTTCCAGGTTCATTTATATTCCAAGCCATGAGCCATGCCCCAACACCCCCAGTTCCTAGAGATGTGGCCAGGGAGGAAGCATCCCGTGTATAGCAGCATTTGCCTGGATGCACCAGATCTGTTCACACTGAGGTTGTGAGCAAGGTGGTCCTCACCTGGCCATCGTAAGATGGGCACCACATCTGGCATCACTACCAGAAACAGAAGTCCTTGACCTGCTAGTGGGAAGCAGATGAGGCTTGTTGGATGGGTTAGCAGCGGCCTGGGGCTGCTCGTGCTGTCCAGGTTCCAGGAGAGGAAGCAGGCAGGACTGTGGAGCATCTGCACAGGCTGTGCACGCACACACACTCATGGGCACACATTGTGAGCACACACACACAGTCTCTGAGGGCCCTAACAGAGCTCCTTACTCTCCACAGCTGGGCAGGCTCTGTCGCTCACCCTGAGCAGTGCGCAGCAGACAGGGTTCAGGATAAGTGACCGGAGAAGGGCGGGTGGGCTGGGCCCTAGGGTGCTGGGGACATTCGAGCTTTGCTGTGCCCATCTCCAAGGCCACTCTTCTTCCTTGGGGCAGTGGTCACTGGACTTGGCGGGTGGCTGTCCTGGGCATTGCAGGGAAAGGCTCCAGTGGAGTCCAAATATCCCCCTGCACCAAGGGAGGCCGTTGAGCTCAGAGCCACCCTGGCTGAGGCAGGACCTTCTCCCTGGTGCCCTTTTGGTGGGTGAGACTCTGCTCTTCTCTGTCCCCAGGGAGTTTCAGCAAGACTTGATGACAAGGACTGCAGGGCAGTGTCTAGGTTAGCGAACACTGTCCCTCCTGCTGTCCTCCATGCTGGGCTTGTCCCTTGGTGCTGGAAGGAGACTCAGGGAGCACAGGGGGAGGAGAGGGGAAGTTGGCAGCAAACGTGAAGAGGGCTGGTGTGCAGGTCACCTGCTGTGACTTGCGGCAGGACAGGGCGCTGGGAAGCACAGTAGGGCCACGCTGCAGTGGGCCACAGGGCCGACAGGCCCAGGGTGTGGCCAGCAGCCGGCAGCATGGTGTCGCTGGCCGTGTTGGCATCGCTACATCCTTCAGGCCAAGCTGCCCAACTTTCACAGGGAAATTTAATTATAGAGCTCCTGAAAAGCACCCGCCGCATATTTACAGATAACTTTTTTTGCAGAGAAATCTCATTACATTTTGACCACCGGGCCACATTTGCTAAATTCTTCAGGGCCGTTCGATGGCTCCTTCTGAACCACGGTGGCGGTGGGCGGCTGAGTCTGGGCTCCTGGCAGGGCCTTCAAACTGCCCTGGGCTCTCCCACGGCTTACCGCGTTAAGAAGAAATACTGTGCGAAGGAACCCGCCAGATCAGGGGAGAGCAGTTTTCCCCTTGATTTGTGCCTGGAAAATGAGGAAAACATCGCAGAAGCGTCCGACAGGACCGTGAATAAAACACACAGCCTGTCCTTTCCGTCACACTTCTCCCTTTATGATGCCACGGAGAATTATGCTCTTTTGCATTTGTTATTAAAGGACAGAACAGATGGTAAAAGGTTAGTTTAAAGTGATGTCTACATTAAAATAACTTATGGTGGCTGGCGATTGTGGGCGCCCGGGGACTCCTGCTGCAAGGCCGCTCAGTCCTGGGGAAGGAAGGGCTGCGGGCGAGCAGGATCCGGGCGAGGCCCCTCCAAGGAGGGGCGTTCGCCCAATTTCAAATGAACTTGAAGCTGGAGGAGAGTCGCCTCCTGTGTGCCATTCACGAAGCATTCGAGGCCCGAGGCTGTGGGGTGGGGATCACAGCTGGGGTCCAGAAGAGAAGCCTGGCTTCAGGGGAGGGAGAGACCCCACTCAGAAAGGACCCTCTGCCCCATGTCCCATGTCCTCGGCCAAAATGCCTCCCTCGGTCAGTGCCCTGTGTACACACCCAGCATGGGGCTGGAGGGGCAGCAGAGGACTTGGCGGCCTCATCCATCACCTGCTGTCTCATGTAACTATGTCCAGGTGGGGACACGGACACCATGGGGTCTGTGAGAGTCCCTGGGGTGGTGGTGGTGCAGGGCAAGGACCATCTTCCAGGCAGCCAGGTCCAAACCTGGCCCCATCCACTGCTTTTTACAGTTCCTGCACCCACCCACACACATACCAAATACCACATGCAAGTGTTCACAGATATGCATACATATATGCACATGCACAATACAGAGACACACACACTCTATAGGTACACACAAAGATATGCACGAACCCAGGCACATGCCCACTACCTCCCTCCTCACGCACCAGGAGCAGGCAAGGGCCCTGGGCTGCAGGCTTTGCCATTAATAAGCTTCCCTTGGGTGCTGTCCTGGCATTTGAGAAGACGCTTTTCAAATCCTCAGGATCAAGTTCTTCCACCAGGATGTAATTCTTTTGCTTTGCTTGCCTGCCTGCCTGCTTCATCTCCCTCCCTTCCTTCCTTCCTTTCTCCCTTTCTCTCTCTCTCTCTCTCTCTCTCTCTCTCTCTCTCTCTCTCTCTCCAGGTTGTAATTCTCCAGTGCAGTGCTTTCTCCTCGTTCCATATCAAGCCAGGACAGTCACACAGAAACAGGTTGCACACACTCGTTTCCTCTACCTGTTGAGAGGTTTGCTTTGACTCTAGCAGCTCCCATTCCTCCATCCCTGG